CCATTGCCGATCGAAGACCACGTGATGTCGATCGATCGACATTCCAGGGGACTTTCCATGCTTGTGTACCGAGGTAGACCTCTCTACATCTACAACCCCAATTCGAATGCAACAGGTTTGGATTTATCGGAGACCTGGGATAGTCGGCTGATTATACTGTACAACCAATAGTAATACGGGACTCGACTGAGAAATTCGGAAGATGTACTACATCGGGATGGAGAAAAGAAGAGAGAACTTAAATGACCGTACATACATACACGATGGTTTCAAAAGATACCAAGAGTTAATATCAATACTCCATCATGTTTCCAATCGCACAAACACCTTCTTCCCGCCGCCTTTTATCACGGATTATAAGTTATCTTACAAAAATTGCAATGCAATTTCAGTTCGGCCCATGGTCACAAATGGAAATGGGTCTGTTCGCCCAGATGGGGCCAAGGAAGCCAACCGGGAGAGCTTATTTGGCAAAGTGCAGATCGTAGTTCAGCCACTTGCGCGCCATAACGCCCGGCACATCTAGGCCGGGGGTACCGTAGGTCAAGGGCGCATAGAAGATGAAGCCCCAGATCGTGGCGGCTAAAATGATAAGGGTGGCAATCCAGCCCGCAATGAGTGACTTGCATCCCATGCGTTCCTTGGCCGTGATGAACCGGCGCAGGCTGCTGACCGAGCGCGCCTTGGACTTGCCAGAGGGATCATCGACAGGGGGAAGTGCAGTGCGGGGGTCGAGCGGCTGCAGGTTGAAAATGAATTCGATCAAGGCGCCACACACCATAGTGGAGGCCAGGTGCGACGGCAGGTAGTGATGCAGGAAGCGCTGGCGACCCATCAGCCAGAAGGGGAAGTAGTGCGCAGCCCAGCACAGGAACAAGAAGCCGGTGCTGTTGTACAGACGCGAGCGTGTACCGGGGCCCCAAACTGATGAAAATGTGTTAATTACTGGAGCAAACCAAGATAATGGTTGGGTGTGTGGTTTTTCGACTTACTTTCTTCCAATGCATCAACACCACGGCGAAGCGAGAGCTGGTCAGCACCAACAATTCCGGCAAACACGGCCAGAAGACTGCTGGCAATCCACCATCCAATGGGGTTACCCAAGAAGTAGATCTGCTCACGAGTATCGTTCTTGGTCCAGAAGCTCACACCCCGCAACAGGAACGGCCACTGGAAGGGCTCGGTGGCATAGGGGTGGCTGCTGGTCAGAGCGTTGTTGTGGTGGAACATGGCACCCTGCAGCTCGAAGTACTTGCGCAGGAAAGGCAGCGTCTTGACCTTACGCTCCTCCTTGACAAGACGAGGACTATCCTCCTCCAGGTTCTCGATGTTCTCAACGTACCAGGCGTTGCTGGACTGGAGGATATTCTTGTTACCATTGATTTCGGCCTGCTTGTAACCCCACTCTGGCAGTGGGGTTGTGTGTGTCCACAAAGCGACCCGGGTCGGGACATGAACCAACTTGAACAGGCTGGAAAGAGTACGGAACTCCTGGGCAGGCTTGCCCGACTCGATCTTAAGCTCGAACAAAGTGTCGTTGTGGCGCTCGCCATCGGCCAGTTCTTGAGAGACCGTGGTGAACTCCTGGTTGGTAGGGAAAAAGGGAGACGCAACATCGTGGGTCAGGAGATAACTCTCGGTTCCGATGTGGCGGAGCTGGATAACGTCGCCGTTGCGCACGCTTTTAGGCTCAGATGCATCAACCAAAGGCTGGGCCGGCAGGATCTGCCACTGGTTGTTGGTGTCGTTGTGGGGATAACCAGTGACCTGCTGGCCCTGGCTGGAAATACGGCCATCATCATAACGCAGAGGGTACTTATCCCAGTGGCTATGGAGGAAGACCTTGGTATCTTTGTGGCGCATAGTAATAGTGTCGAAGTATTGAATGCCAACGGATTGAGCGGTCATCTGGTTGTCACTGAGAGTCTCCTGGAACTCGGGAGTCATGAAGTCGTCGCCGGGGCCAGACCGATTGAGAATAGCGAAGTGGACCTGGAACCAGAACAGGTAGAACATCACGGGGATAACGACCAATCCAACAGCGCGAGCCATAAAGTGCTTACCCCAGTTGACCATGCTCAGCGCTCCCTGCTTGCGATTGATATCCAAGAGGTTCCACAAGTCAATGAGGACTGCCGCACCAATGGTAACGAAAGTGAAGAAACCGACGTATTTGGTGGAGATGACACAGCTCATGCAGAAGCCGGTCAGGAGAAGCCATTTCCACCACTTCCGGCTAAACGGTTGGTGACGCAACTTGTAGAAACGGACGTAGCACAAGACACTGAGTGCCATTGACAGCACGAGGGTGGCGTCCAAAAGGATCAGACGGTCCTCGCCCACGTGGGCGTTGTCAAATACCATCAGACCGGCAGCCAACACACAGGCCGGCAAAGAGTAGCCAGACTCCCACATGATAAGGAACACCACGGGAATTGTCAAGGCACCGAGAGTAGCCGGTAGAGCTCGGAGGGAGAGGTAGGGCACATTGTTGTCGATGTAAGAGTCGCCGATATTCTCGAACAGGAATGTTCCATCGAAGCCCACAAGCCAACCCACCAGGGCAAACAACAGCTTTCCAAAAGGCGGGTGCACATCGAAGAAATAGGTTCGTTGAAGGTAGTAAGAAGCGAACTAGCCAAACGATATCAGTTAGTCAAAAGGCCCCCTTTTCGTAGACTATGCCGCCACAAGAGGCATTGAACATCATACCTTGCCGAAATGAACCTCGTCAAACACGACCTCGTTAGGGTAATCGAGGCGGTAGAACCGTGTCGCAAAAGCCAGGAGGGTGAGAATCACTATGGCCAGCCAATAGTCCCATTCCGACTTTTGTTTGACCGGTACTGACACGGGAGTCGAGTCATCGTCCGAGGGCAATGCGGTGTAAACGTCCTTCTTTCCGCCTCTCTTCCGCAGAGAGGGCGAAGGGGACGACATGTTGAAAATATGAAATGAAGAGAGCGACCGAGAAACTACCTATAATCAAATAGACTTCCGGGGGGTGTTAGTAAGGATCAACAAAGCAGGAAAAGGCCGCAATAGAGAGATATAAGAAGCTTACCAGAATCACCAAATAAGCATGGCACCCAACAATTGAGGCCAAGAAAATATGAGAAAGGAAAGGAGATGCGGAGGGGGGCCTGTAGTTGAGCGTTGCGTGTCTTCTTAGTTTCCGGTAGGGCGGTGGCCCAGGCGGAGCTACGTATACAAATCCACAAAAAGGGTCAACTCCTTGTTTGATATTGAACTGTCGCGTCAAGTATCGAGTATTCAAAGAAATTGAAATTCCAGTTTCTTATTGATTTATCCATACGGTGTCCTATGAATCTTTTCATGCCCACTAATTCATGCAATGACTTGGGAACATCCATGTGATCTCCCCTTTGACAACATTTTCCATAGTTTTCTGGCATTCTAATTGGACAGATACTTTCATATAAAGTTTTGGTATATTCTCATTGGAATTACTAGTCTGGAGTCCTGCGACTGAACAAAGAATCTCCCTAATCGGCCCTTGTCAAGATCAGCCAAGTCTGGTCTAGACAATGTCGAAATGTAAATATATATACAGATTAACGTCTTTCGTCTGCCTCAACCTCACGAATAACAAGCCACAAAGCCTTCCTAAAAGGAGCTTCTTCCTGTTTATTCTCTTGAATGTAAACGTCGGCTCGCCTGCCTAGGCCTCTCCTCTCCTGATCTCTCGGCTCGTTATTATACTTCTTCAACGAGGCATTGAACCGCGTCAACTTAGACTTAGAAGACCACGGCAAGATCTCAAATTCAAGCTCAGCAATCCAGGGCTGTAAGGTACCAATCCTCCGCTGTAATTCAAGCTCCTGCTGCTGCCTTTCATCGGCTCCAGCGTTATTCATGGACGCTTCATTCTGGAGTTGTAGAAACAGAGGCGCCTGTCGATTGATCTTGCCCTGAGAGTCCAATATAGGCAGCTTTGCAACATGAGCCAGCGCATCCAGCTTCGCAATTTCAACTCTCAAGCCGCGTGGACCGAAGATGTCCTTATTAGCTTTTTTGATGGACGAGTCCGTCCGGCTTTTGGACATGCCTTGACTGCTCAGGTTTGCGAGTCCGCTGACAGCGGACCCAATCCAATGCAGCGGGAATAGGATCGGGACGGAGTTCAAGATGCCGCCTGTCGCGTCTAGGACTTGAAGGGGCGGACTGGCGGATATGTCTTTGTTCAGTTGGTCGAGGAAGGTGAGGAAAGATTCCTTGGGGAGTTGGTGGTTTTTTAGGATGGGTGGATATGCGCGGATGAAAGGAGAATCAGACGAGGATGTGATCGCTGGTATTGCGATTGGTTTGTGGTTTGTTTGTGAGGGGGTTTCTTGTACTGGTGGTGATTGGCTTGGTTGTGTTGAGGGTCCTGGGGCTGTATATGCTGGAGGGTGATCTGCTGCCTCTCCCTCATAAGAGCGTCCCATATCCTCGAAGGGATTTTGTTTCTTTTCATCGGCCATTGTGAGTGAAAGAAAATAAGTTAATTCTTCTCGTGTTACGGGGGCCAACCTCCTTTTAAGTCTGAAAGTGGAGTGGAGTGAGCTCAGCCTTAGATCCTAGAGATTGCTTGGATTGGCTGAAAGATATATTGTACGTGCGTATGTAGGTACATAGTAAGTACATACTATTGTACTATGTGTGGTAAAATAAGCCTTGACTTAGCCACACCTGGGCAGCCATGGTCTTTCCATGGATGGTTGGGGCTTGCACTACGCCGTATCGGGAATCCTGTGCGAGATAGCGTCAGCCATGCATATCTTTCACAGCCTCAAAGTATACGTTAGGGCGCAAGAAAGGTTTGGTAGTGTTGTATTGTGGTTTTATTGGCTATATGTTCGACATAGAAAACGACCGAATGCCCCAAGAAATTCACTCCCAATAATGCTGTCAACATATGCAAAACGGATTGGCCACGCAAAATATGAATCTCAAGCAAATAGTACGGTTCATGGGTATCACTCAAATATCTTAGGGCCTTAATCGTCATCTGAAATATTCAAAAGCTCCAATTCCATCGAGACCAATGCCTGGAATTCTGCCCGGGGCATTCCAGTGGCCTTGGCCAAGCGGAACAAACTCTTGATGCTCGTACCAATATGCTGTTTCACTCCCACCTCGTAGGTGGACTGGCTCTCTGCCTCGTATTCCAGTTTTGCGATAGCATCAGAGCTACCGGAAGATGCAGAGGCCGGCCGCGGGTGGTTCAAATCCTGCGCGGCCTTATCACTGGGCATGTGGTCTGGAGAATATCCGTTGGTGCGAGGCTCCTCCGGATTGACCCCGTTCACCTGTCGTCGCAATAGATTGGCCAGCATATCTCCGTTGAGGGATGACGGACCAACCTCCGGTTGCTCCTCTGTGGGATCATGATTATCCATGGCCGGCTGCACGTCGCCGTACTGCGAGAAATATGACTGCTCAGATAAGCCGGATGAACCTGGCTTTGATAGATCGGGACGCGGTGCGGGGGTCTTGGCTCCGGGTGTGGAGTCGTACTGAGCCCAGTAATCATCGTCGTCGTCGTTCTCCACGATGTTCTCCTGGGCTTTCTCTTCTTCGGCAGCCTTTAATGTATCAGCCAGCAGTTTGTCCTTTGCCTGAATGTTCGCCTCCCCGATGGAAGAAGCCCAGGTATTCTCATCCTCAGCAGGTCCCTCCCGTGGCAAAAGCTCTGCAACTCGCCAGCCACGACCACCTCCTTCCTCGTCTGTCGGGCACCATAAATAGACCACTGTCAAGCTGTAGTCTGTGAGTGGAACTTGTGCTTTGAGGGTCTCATCGTCGACCCGTTTGTATGTCACCGGAAGTTCATCCGGAAGCTCGATTTCGCCCGATACGGGGTGTGGTTCAAAGGTGGCGCCGTCAATTAACCTCTGCAGACGCTCTGCTTTTGCAGCATCCCAACACAGTAGTTGTAGCCAGGACTCAGTGGAAGATGTGGATAGCGAACTGAGAACCCCGACTCGTTGGCGCAGAATAGGGGAGAGGAGTGGTAACAGAGCTGGAGGTGCGCGAGGCGAGACAAAGGCTAGTGGGAGGCATGCGAGGAGAGGAGGGAGTAGTTCGCGAGTTTCCGGTGGGTTAATGAGTTCGACCATGATTGCTATAGGTAGGAATTGTGGAGAGAGAGAGAGAAAGAGAAAGTAGAAATGGGGATGTTCAAAAGACAGTGTTTTGCAAGCTCTCCGGGCTCCATTCGACCGAACGTGGGGCAACAAACAGAGCAATCACCGGGCCGTAAAGCTTACCCGTCCGTGGTTCTATCGGTCTTTATATAAGCACGTGGATATAATCGTCAACTATTTCTTTTAATTTTGTACATTCTTTATAGTTTCATGTTGATACAGTTCTATCCGTTTCTTGTTTTCCTACTTCAGATCCTTACACTGACTGCAGAGACTCTAATATATATCTGGTTCTTCCTATTGGCTCTTTCGAATATCCAATATAATCCATAGCCTGGAGAACATCTGAAATAAAATCGCCGATTTTCAAATGCAAGTCCCACATTCCAAAGGTTCCACATTCCACACCCCACCTGGACACAAGCTGCCAGGCCGTCATTCGGAGTAGAATCAGCCGGCCAATTTGAAATTCAGTCCGGGAGTACGGAGGACCAAAATACATACAAAATCAACTAGCATCCACAGTAAGTCGCCGAATTGACACTAACGGCGAAAAGGAAGAAAAATGATTGAGAGGTTGAAATGTGCGAGTGGCCACCTTTGCGAACTCGGCCTACCTAGTACATCATGATTTGATAGAAAAGAGGAAGCGAGATAATCTGAAGGGCTCCGTATTCGGTCTCGTGATGTCTTTCCGCTAGGCCATGTGGTAACTTGCTCGTGCATTCTTTTTAGATATCTTTGTCTAGATACCTTCTCGGTTTTATCGGTAGACGGCAGAAAAAGACGGGAAAAGGCTTGAAACATGCAGACAACCTTTCCATGTCTAACCTTTGATAATTTGAGAAGAGCAAGGATTAGACAGGTAGATATTTCCTTTGAACGTGCATGGTGGAATGTGAGAATGGAGATTGGATGGAGAAACTAGAAGCCGAGACGGCATATCCACCTGATCTACATCGAAATATACGGAGATAACGGAGAGTCGACCACACTTCCATCTACAATCACATTCCAAGTCGAAATAAAGTCTAAGAAGATGTACAGTTGCGGAGAAATTCTTTTTCGAAGAATGGGGTCATGTTATCTCCATCTCCCACCATTCTCTTCTATTGAACTAGAAACGCGCTGGGCCCTTCTCCACCTGCAGATCGGCGCGGCAATTGAAAAAGTGTCAAGTATTCGCGAAGAGACAATGAATCAGCAACAACATCGATCCTGCTTTGAAATCAGTAATATACCGGTTAAATAAGTCTATGGATTTCGAACTAATAAAGGAAACCGTATAAATAAGTCCATCTTTCATCCTCCTAGAGCAAGATTCAGCATCAACGTTTGTGATCTTCCGTTTCTTCCTACTGTCAAAGTAAAACTATAGCACATTTACTTCCATTTGTACATTGTTGACAATGCCGTCCTACGTTATTACCGGGGCGTCCAGGGGCATTGGGGTGAGTTTTATTCTTTAGGAACCGGATGAAAACTAACCGTTCTCAACCGAAACAGTGGGAGTTACTTCGTCAACTCTCCAGCGATTCAAACAATACCGTGATCGGAATTGTTCGCAACAGGTCTGCGACTCAAGAGAAAGTGAAGGAAGAGTTGCCGGAGCGTACCAATATCCATATCGTGCAGGCCGACATTACCGATTATACTGCTTTAAAGGTTGGGACTCTCGAAATCTACAGAAGGAACCTATATTGATACCTCTTTCTAGGCTGCGGCAGCAGAGACTGCAACGATTACTGGCGGGAGGCTCGATTATCTCATCGCCAACGCTGGGCTGGTATCCAAATTTGATGCCTACGATCCCATCGGGGTTCTGTAAGTCAACTTGGCCTCAATTATTGGGTCTTATAATGTGGTAGTCACTGACAGTATGATATTAACCAAAAAGTGGCCAACAGCCTGAAGCCCTAGAGGAGAACCTTAACACGTGTATCAAAATCAACGTAACCAGCAACATTCACTTGTTCAACTTGTTCACGCCCTTGATTCTGAAAGGAGAGGTCAAGAAGGTTGTTGCCATCTCCAGTGGCCATGCCTCCCTCGATGCCATCTCTATTCTAGGGATCGATGTCGCCTCTCTCTATACCATCAGTAAGGCGGGCCTGAATGCTGCTGTGGCCAAGTTCAGCGCGCAGTATGCCAAGGATGGCGTCCTTTTCATGAGCATTTGTCCCGGAATGGTTGATACGGGTCACTTCGCCGACGGTATGTTTGAACATGTTCTTGCCTTTCTGTTTGACACACCAATCTGATCTTCTTCTAGCAACTGAGGAGCAGCAGAAGGGCTTGGCAGGGATGCTGGGTGCATTCGCCCGGTACGCACCCGACTTCCAGGGTCCCAGTCCACCGGAGGCTGCGGTGAAGGATGTTATCTCCGTTATGGAAAAGGCCAGTGTCGAGAGCGGCGATGGCGGCTCCTTCGTGTCGCACTTTGGTAACCAACAGTGGCTGTAGAAGTATTTTCAGCCTTGGGAAGACTGCTTTCTGATTCCATAGCCGAACCCATGTTTTAAATGTTATCCTTGATCCTTTTCAGAGAATGGAGTGAAGTTGCATCTTATTGGGAGAACTCTTAGATTTCGACAGACTGTTCATTGCCGATGAAATGATACGCAAGCGAGCAATGTGTCTTCCCGCCTCAATCAACTTGTATTGGTCTTAGGGTGGTAGTATGTATCCACTGTACCAGACCGTCAGCTATCTTCGAGAAGGTCCGAAATATTGCGACGGGACCCCAGATACCGATGCTAAATTTATCACTCATAGTAATCACATGTGCTGTAACCGGCCTCAATAAAAAATTATCCAAGTGAGCTTTCTTTCAGTTAGACAAAGGTAGGCAAAATAGTGCAACAGCTCAAAATAGCACTAAGCTTTTCAGTATAGTCAATCTCGCCATGGGCAAGATCATCTTGAATCCATATGGCCTGAATCAGCTTCTTGGTCAGAAATAGGGAGCGCGATGAATCCCTTTTTTCTGTCCTAGAAATTAAATCTAGAACTATACACCTTTCCCGATCGGTCCGCGCTTCGCATCCCAGGATAAACAGTGGATACTGACGTTCACAAGAACTGAGCTGGGAGAAAATACCGAAGGCTTGTTCAACCCGTTGTTGGGTTTGGGAAGCTGGTTCTAGGATGTTTCCAAAGGCTCGGTTAAGGTAGATGAGAGTGGCTAGTTGGAAGAGTTCCACAAAAGTCACCATACTCGGATTCTCGTCGATTATCGTGTCTGAGATCGGGATGGACTGGATCCTCCATGCCAGGATTTTAACGTAGCTTTCAAAGTCGTCGGCTTCTTCGGACGAAAACATATTGGACAGTTTTGTTGCGACTAGATTGCAAACCTCAGTCAAAGACCTGAGAATTTTGGTAAAGGGGGACTGGGCTGAGTGTGTGATCTATCTCATTTCAATTAGCAACCTGACTTTCGTGAAACGCGAAAATACTATGCCAACCTCGATACAGGGATCAGTATTCATCGGCGGCGATGGGATGTCTACCGGCTCGTCCGAATGCACGAGAGGCCTGTCGATCGCCGACGGGTGCCAGTGTGCGATACTGAAACGGGATAATACATCATGGTAGTATACCCAGTCAAGCAAGGCATTGAAGTCGCTATCCCTTTTATAAATGTCGAGAGATGAGGCTTTGATTACACTTTTGACACCGATAATGTACGATCTCCATTGGCCGGAGGTACATGACGCCTGGTGGATCTGGGTTGAAGACCGCATTAATATAGATCATGCATGTTACTAGGGGTAGGATCTAAAGATACAAACCTCATATGAGCATAAGAGCATCCCCGCAGCAACATGCTGCATTGTTTCCATAGTACCAATTTCGCAATTTGATGCAACGCCTAGGGCTTTCAAGGCAGCTATCTTGAGCTCGGCAGCCTGTGATTGCAGTCCAGAACGGTGCAGCGAGGACAACGCGAGCAAAGACCGCAGCACTGCAGCGGTGGATGGGGCGTTATTAATGAGAGCCATGCGGATAAGCATGTTGCCCACATTAGTCGGGTCATGGCCGAAGGTTGTTAAAGAGCAGGATGCAGTGGATTGAACTGCAATACCGGTCAGTTTCATGGGAGATTCGATGGATGAATGGGTTGTGTTTCGCCTACAGTATTGAAATAGATAGTTTTCGGCAACATCTAATTTGAATGGATTGAATGGCATTGGTGATCGTAGTGTCAGTTTGTGGTACTCTGCAGCACGTCAGTGCTTCTGCTATCTCGCTGATCATATGAACGTCCCATGGTGGAAGGCATTACCATTTGATACTAGACCTAAGAGATACCGGTGCATCTCAATATCCCAGGTGGATATATTAATCAGGTGCGCATTAGAAAAATGAGGCTCCGCCATTCTTTGTTGTATAAATGAGCGTGCCACCATAGCACGTCGCTTATCATTGGCCTTTGGCCACGACAGCCGGAGGCCGTAGCCCTTGCAAGTGCGGTTAGACTGGGCACACTGCGAGCACGTTGGGACAGTCCGGTCGCAGAGAATCCGGCGATCTGCATGCAAACCTCAGCAAGTTTACATCTAATTTCACACAGGGAGGCGCAAACTGGTTTTCTAATGTTGAACATACCCCTACATGTCCCACAGCTTCGACTCGCCATGTTAGTTGGATAGCCTATCAAACTCTCCGTGTGTGAGAGAAGTTTCCACAAAAAGAAACTTGTTACGGTCACTGAGCGGATAATACTGAGACTTGAGATTATGATGACCGTCTTGCTGACTGATGCTTCTTTCCAACGTTGTCTGTGCGTGGGGGCTGATATTGTGCCAAGCACTACCTACTAGCTAGCGTTTACTCCGTATAATCCGGTGACGGTGAATTTTTAGCGTTCCATTTCGGATTTAGCGCCTTGTTGCGCGTTACGCTAGCCGTGCGTGTTTCTATGAAGTCCCCTTCATCGCTGCTCCAACTTCTCGCTGTTCTCGCCCTTCTGCCCATCCTTTCCCTCCATTCCTCCTGTGCGCCTTGCGAGTCGCGCCGACCTGCAGTTCAGGCCTCTGACGTGTCAATCGGTCAGTTCGTCGTCGAACTTCTGCGCATCCGGGCGCCTTCACCCTGTGCTCTTTCTGGATAATCGTCCGAGTGAAGCGGGCGAGGTCGAGGGCGTTCTCAGCCTTGGCTGATAGTGACCGTATCATTTCGTAACTGAGGAAGGCGGGGATGAGACTTGTTAGCGTACACGAACGACCTGTCACAGCCGCTATACGCATCAGCCCTTGGTTGTTAAGTCCGCGAGAGTTGACGGGATGCTAACAGTGACACTCCGTCCCTCCACGATAACTGTGAGGCTTCACGGCGGCCGTGTCGGAATCCAGGAATGATCTCTGAACCTGAATTTCCAGCCAGGCGCCATCGCCAGATCGCATACGAACAGCCATTCTTTTTCCTGTCATCGTTCGTATTCCGGAGCTCCGCCGGCCCCTATCACCGAATGCATATTGTCGCCGAAACATCGCTGATTTCATGATCGATTGGCGGAAAGGATAAGATGGACGACTGGGAAAACAAGGGGCTACTCGTGCGGCAAGAATGACATACGGCCTGGCGATTGGGGTATCCTTTCTCTCCCTGTAGGTGCGTCGTGCGCGTTTCGTTTACTGTCCTGGGCCATGGAACGAAATGCAAGCAGAGCTCAATCGAACTGGTGGCGACAGCTGGATGCAGATGATGCGTAGACCTACGGTTCCCTAGAAATACTGACTACGCTTTGCGGTGTGGCTATTAAATCAAGTGGATGAGCGGGCGAGTCATTCGCACGGTGGTGCTCAACACACGGTGCGTTGGCCACAGAATCTATTAGCAGCTAGGTCTCGTCTGAATGCCACCTTGCCAGAGAAACGTTTGCGTTAAACAAGGTATAATCGGTCTGATGAGAGGTATAAAGTCAAGTCTCGCACGCCGTCTTCGTGATAAAAGTAGCCTAGCATCCAATTCGGTCTTTATATCTCAACCCAGTGCTCAATTTTCCCTTCATCATCCAATACACATGTTGTCTCGTCTACTCGCTCCAGTCAATATGACCTTTTTTGCAGACAAAACACACAAATCCTTCGGTAGCTATAGTTAGGATTCCGACGGGCTACTTAATATATCCAGCGTACAGCGCGAGGGCTAATCTTGGTAGGGCGCCCACTGCGAGGTAGGGATTTAACGGTGTTGTGCTATTTGAAGCGTTCGAGTGAATCATAAATTGTACTGCGTGCGCAGTCGAATTCGCGCCAGCTTAGTACAGGCGTGTGCCAGATACGATAGCAGCGCTGCTTAGGCGATAGCTCTGCCTTTCGTCTTCGGTTACCACTAATAACTGTGCCAAAGGAGTGTTCTATGGTTGTGTAGGTAAAAAAAATAAAAATTGGGGGTTGGGACGTGTTCTATAAAAACGAGCTAAAAATTAGTGTGTCGGGAAACTTTTTGAACGGAATGTAAGATAGTCACTCTCTCTGACCTGAAAATTGGCTCAAGCGGACGAGTCGTACGAAACAGATTATTAATATTGTTGAAGTAAGTGAAATTAGCATAGATCTCGATAACCTAATACGGGCAACAGAGAATAACAATGATAATGTAAAATACCAAAACACGACAGGATAAAAATGGTCGAATCTTCATCCAGGCAATAACATTGGGTAATGCCGAGGGTACATTAAGACCAATCGCCGTGACGGATAGATACTAGCCATAGGCTAGCTCGTGCAGGAAGATAAATATACCATAACCCATAGCGAGGATTACCTATGGGGTGGAGGAGATTCGGGATTAGCCTTCGTGGCCTGGCATAACATATTCCATGTAGGTACGAGCAAGAGGGTAAGAGGGCAAGGGCACGGAGATCAATATTTATCAAGTATTGACTTTGAGGGAATAGCTGCCAGTCTGCCCCACATAAGAGCCTCACATTAATGCTCCTCTACTCAACCTCGTAACCTATCCAAGAAACCCATCTTTAAAGCATCCAAAGTAACTCCAATGTCGTCCTTATACTCAGCCTGGTTCCGTAAGGGCCCTGACCCTGGAAGTATCATCAGCCTTGACCAACCCGTCCCTTCCCGGTGGAAGATTCTTGAGAAGCTGAACGAGCATGACTATCAGGTTAACGAGGAGGAAAACGATGAGTATGGCTTCCGTTCTTTCGCCTCGGCTAAATATCTATGCTGCGATCCCAGAGCCCGGACTAGGGAAGCCTTCATGCGCATCTACATTCAAGTTCCCCATCGGAAGACTGAAATGGATGATGCGGATACCAGAAGCCGACAAACCACAACATATAACCCCCCAGAATTGATCGCCTACCGGGACCTCACTGAAAAGGGCTCTAGTGACACACCAAAGCTTCTCGGATACAAGACCGATAAACAGGATCGCTCGGGGCTAGTTCCGGGTGGGTTCATTATCTGGCTTGTGTGGGAGATCGTCCCAGGGCTGCGCCTCGGAGACGGCAATGGCGCTGACCCATATTGGGCTCTTCAAAGCTACGAAAGGGAGCAGGTTCGCTTGGCTTTCCTTAAGGCTCTACCGTAAGTCGATGTTTCTTCTGTATTCGATACTCTAATCATTGTCGACTACGTAGTAAGCTGCATGAGAACGGGTGGTTCCCCCGTGTATGCGGGGCAAGCAGCCTAGTTTGGCACGAGAAGACGCAAAGACTGTACGTTATTGCTATATTATCCCGACGATAAGGTGACGAACTTATTAATTTACTCCATATAGCTACTTTATCGGACCCTTTGAGAAGGCCGGTAAGCCCGAACGTCCGATTATCTTCGGTACCAACTGGATTGCGCATTTCGATCTCGCCAAGCCGGACCCGTCTACGGATGAACGTGACAGTGACTGGGATAAAGATACTTCACGCTGGCAATGGTAGCTGAGGAGGAAGCAAGATTGTTTGTTTGTCCGTTTATTATGTTGAATTCGGTGATAAGACTGTGGCATTTTATAAGGGAGCCGTCCACTTCTGGTTCCGCATGCCTGTGCTAGTGTCAAAATTCGAGTCCGCGAGGGCTAATAATCCACTATGGTAGAGACTCTGACAAAATGACACCGTCCTGCCTGAAGTACTTCCTCTGTCACTGTGGTAAATCACCGGAGAATACTCCAGTCCCCAAGCTCGACCGAATTCCTCCTTTCGAAGAAAAATCGTATACTCGTACGTAGTCAAGAACCCATACTTCAAGCGTGAGTCGAACATGTACTCCGCAATTTGGCCTATATATACGCGTCAGTGTATATTTATTCCTATTAATAGCTCATAAGACTAACCTAGTACATGCCGCAAATTATCTTGCTTGGCCCCAGACTCAAACTCAGTGATCAACTTCCTTAGGTTGTGCTCGCGTATCCAGGGAACCTTGACTTCTCCCACAACCTTTGCTTCGTGAGCTGAGGTCATAAGCACAAAGTCGGGGGCTTTTTTGTATCCTGGATACGGCGGCAAAGCACCCTTAGAGGCACCTAGCTTAATATCATGGTTCTGGGCCCCGAAGACAGCTCCTAGAGCTATTCCTGCTCGTCCCTCGAGTCTGCCTTGCACACCGCGCTCGTCACTCACGAAAACTTGCTCTTCGTGGACTGAACCGGCGAGGAAGTTGGCTGTCAATCTAGACGCTATTTCGCGCGGGTTCCATGTCTGGCTGTTGTAGGTGTTCGCGACTTCTGTCTTGAAGTGGGTCCATTGCCCCAGAGCTCCGATGAACTTGATCCGGTGCAACGCGTGGCTAACAGTGCGGCGAGTGGGAATGTCGAGATTAGGGAGAGGTTCTAGTAAGAGGTCGGACGCGCTATGCGTGACTGAGACTGCCATGATGATATAGCTGTAGAGTGATTGTTGATAAAGTGGGAGCTTGAAGCCTGATAGCGAAGTATTGATCGGGGGCTTGTTGAAAATAAGAAAACTAGCAGTATCAGAGCGAGGTGCAACGGTGAAGAAGCTCTGATGTTGATCGTGCACTCGACGGTGCCTTCCTAATTAAGAATTTGTAGGTTCTAGCGTACAGCGCCGCATATTGTACCTAGACATAAACATATTGAATATAGTGCCGCTGAATTTACTGCGGTTTATCTCGAATTTAGGATATTATAAACATTATTGATAGGGATTTGCAATTTTTTTCCTATATTTGTCGTCGTAGGGTAAATCATTATGGCCGGTGTTGCAGCTTGAAGAACTTCCTTTCTACTGATATAGCTTCTCCAGATATTGAAGCTCCCTTGGTTGTCATTACGAAGTATAATGCGAGATATTACAAATAGCAAAGACCGACATATTCCTGGCGTTAGTTGTGAAGATAACCACGCTTTTTGCGACTTCCTCGATGCTGCCCAGCAAATTCGAGAAAACTAATACGTAGCGACTTCTACCCTTGGCGACAACATATGATCGTTAAAAGGGGAACTCGCTTTCCATGATATTCTGGGGGCCTATTAAGACATCAAGACCAGAAGCATACTCGGATTCTGAAGAAGAGCCTAGCGGGTCTCTATCCCTGGAAGACGACTTCTACGAGACAAAGGAAGAGATTCCACAGGACTCGCTGTTGATGCAAAAGCCAGCGGCATCACCACAGTAAATGTTACTATGTCAACATAGAGCCTAGACCAGAGGATTAAAAACACTAGGAAAAGAGTGGGATGGCCTCCCCAAGCTCTTGAAGCAGATGAGTTAGCATGGCCTGGAGGAATTCAGGAAGCTCATGGAACTGAGAAATGCAGCTTCATCCGATGATCTAGATACACTCGCGGCTGGACTTCTGAGTGTTGTCAGGCTCGTCGGAAAATATGTCCCGAGAGAATGAAGGGGCAGCAGTCGCTGTCACAAAGCCACTTACTAGTATATACTCCAGGAGCCCGCTGCCCGTAGGTAGCTCTAAAGTTTTACTAATCCTTTTTTTCTGCTTAAAACCCTCCATTTGGCAGAGTCTATACTGCACTAGATATAAGAAGTCACTAAGGACAAGAAGTAGCATACTTACGACTGGTTTTGAATAATTATGAAATTTTGTACCAGCAGAACAAAAGTGGTCTTCGGCCTTTAGAAGTACTGGGGTGCAAATACTCATGAAATATGACTGTAGGTAGTCCTAGATTGTCACAAAAAAGATCAAGACCACGATTCTCCCTCCAAAAGCCACGCACAATCGTG